AAATACTTCTCGTTGGCACCTGAACATCTGCTTGTTTATTTGTGTTGAACAATTTAGAAGTAGTAAAAAAGCATTGACTTAAAATATTTATTGTAATTTTATATCGATTTGGATATGCTTTGTCTTTTTTTAAAAAAATTTGAGGGATCAAATTTATTTAAAAAACTTTTTTTTATTAAAACTTGTTATTTTTACTTCAAAATTTCTTTTTACATTAACACAGAAATTAAATGGAAATTAACAATAATTAAACAAATTTTACAATAATTAATAATTTTGTAGTGTATTACTATTGAATAATAATAATAATAACAATAATTAATAACTTAGTTGAAATTTTGCTTGCATTTATATATTTTTTCCTTCATAATTATTTCATCAAAAGAAATAAGAAAATCAACTTTTCTTTTTGTTATTTTTGCAACTTTCAACATTCTTTATCACACTGTTTTATTTGTCTTTTTTTCTTCATATTAATAAATTTTAAAAATAATTGCAAGTGCTAAAATATTTTAAAATTTGAACTGAAATAAAAATAAAAAGAGGTAAGAAGTATGAAAAAATTTTGAGGAATGAAATTTGGAAGAAATTTTATGGAAGTGATTAATTGTAGGAAAGATTATTTGATAAGATATTACGTAAAATGTCATAGCATAAGCTTTTGAAAGCTATATGAAAGTTTGATAGTTTTGATAAATGATAGTTTCCATGTTTGTTTATTTTGATAACTATTTAATATTTTGCTTATTTTGATAAATTGTTGTTTTGCATTATTTGATTTATTTGAAATGTATCATATTCCAACTTTTAACCTAGTCATAAAAATCTTTTAAAATATTGAAATCTGTAAATAGTGGTGAGAAATGGAAAAAAATGAAATTGGAGATAAAAATTTTAAAAAGAATAATCTTTATTTTTATATCTTTATAAGCACTTTTTACTTCCCTATTTCTGAAATGACCGACATTTAATGTTAGGACTAATATCAAATAAAATTCAAATTAATTAAAAATACTTAAAGAACTGAAATCTAAAAATTAATGAAAATATTTAATGATAATAATATATTCGTGGTGAATATCAATGTTAGAAATATTTGAATCGATTGGAAAATGAATTTTTATCTTCGCAATTATTGCACTTTCATTGTACTTCGACATGATTTTCAATTTCTTTTTTTTTCCTTTTTTGCTCTTTTTTGTCAGTAAAATTCTTTCATAAACAAAAAAATAAAAAAAAAGAACGATAGACAATCAAAAAAATGCTAACAATTAATAACTATTCATATTTTAATTAGTTAAATAAAAAATATTCGGTGCAAAATTTTAGCAAATGAAATGAAAAAATCTGGTTTGGTAGGCAAATATATTTGTCAAATTTTGATTAGATAATTTTCAAATATGAGAAGAATTTTTTCCTTTCTTTCTTTCAACATGATTTAACTTTCTTGTTTTCAATAAAAAAAAAAAAAAAAGCTATAAATTTTCCGTTTTTCCTATTCCATTTTCTTTGTTCCAATTTTATCAATTAATATCTTATTGAATAATTGAGTAAATATTTGATTAGCATATTTTAATAATTAAATGAGTGAAATGTTACTAAGTGATAAATAAAATGTAAAAATTGATTGAATAAATTAGATTATATTCTTATTATCATTTTTGTTTAAATCACTAATTAATATATGCACTGATCAATATAACACACACTTTTATCAATATCAGTTCAATAATTTATTAATCCGCGCCTTATCACTTCACTTCTTTGCTCTGTGATAAATGAATAGTTCATTAGTTCATTGCTAATCTCTTAACAATTTGCAGTCTGCTTTATAGCAATTTGATTCACGTGCAATCACGTATGCTACGTGTACCCGTATCACTTAAACAATTTATCAGTTCCATCTTCCTGCCCGCCTCTTTTGTAAGAACATTCCACAATCAGTGATAAATGTTGAGCTCATTTGATAAGTGAATGAGTTCTCATCGATTTGCACTTTTCCCAAATATCATTCCCTCCCCGCCCAAATGTCATTTCCTCCCTGTCCAAATGTCATTTGCTCCCCGCCCAAATGTCGTATTCATGATCCTTTTGCTCCAAGCAGCTTTTGCTTCTCATAAAATGAATCCATTTTGCGCTCTTTTCCATTCCTTTTCTTTCGTCAAAAAGAAAGAAAAAAAATGTTATTTCTTAACAATTTTCTATTTTCAATTATTATTTATTCATTTATTGCATTATTACTTTGTTTGTTTATATTTTATAATTAAAGTTAATCAAAAACAAGAAGTAACCTTTCTTTTATCATTTTTAAATTTATCTTAAAATAACCAAACATTAATTATCATTTTGGAAATGGAAACAGTCTAAACTTTTTCACTCCATCACTATCATTATCATATCATCAGTGATTTTTCTCATATATCGTTTGATAATTCTTGCCAATAAATGTTGTGATGGGAATAAATTTAAAAAATGAATAATGTAAATCAAATGATTTTGAATAATTTATTAATAATTTGGAAATAATTCATGGGAAAAGAAATATATAAAGTGAGTACTGCATTACATGGTAACTAGAACTAACAACTTTTTGTAATTTAAATTTATTATAGAATAAAAAAATGCTCTAAAACATATTTATTATATGGCGTAAAAAAAAAAAAAAAAAAGAAATTTAGTGATAGCATAAAATTGAAAATATAGTAATTTTTAATTTGTTTAGGAGTAATTTAATAATTAATAAAATTTTGATACAAGGATTAAAATAGTGCAATAATAATTGAGAGGAATAAATATTAAAAATTAAAGGAAACAAGACAAATATTTTAATGATTAATTAAATTGATATCAAATTAACAATGCAAAATAAATATTTCGATGCATAATTAAATTAATACCAAATTAAGAATGAAAAATTCTCAGTTAAATTTATATCACTTATCATTAATGTGATAATTAATTATCATTTTTCCCACTGAACTAAACTATCTGATTGATTCTTTCGATCAATAAACGACGCTGTTAAAGTGTGTCAGTGCGTTGTATTTCTCAATGTGGTTGTTCAAATGTACAACTTATCCCACTTATATATATATATACTTGCAAGTTTGTGCTACTTTCGTATTCGTATTTATACGTACGTACGTGTATACGTGTGTGTGTGTGTGTGTGTGTGTGTGTGTGTGTGTGTGTGTGTGTGTTGTATGCTTGTAACGATATGCTTACAACCGTTGTTAAAAAAATAGCAGAAAACATTTTTTTTTTTCTAAGTAATTAAGTAAATTGTTGTCATCACAGATTGATTGAGTAAATATTATTATTTATTTAATAATAAGTAACGAATGTTTAATGTTTAATGAATTTAATTATCTATTAAAATGATTATTTCTAAAATAATGCACAGAAATTGAAACCAAGTGAATATCTGTCTAAATTTAACTTTTCGTACTTTTTTTTTTAAATGAGAAAATTGTAACTAAATGGTTATAATACATTAAAATTTCTTATTATGAAATTTTCCTTCTTAACATCGAATTTAAAACATTTAATCTTTTTTTATTGATTACTTCCTCTTTCATTTTTTACTTGTTGCATTTTTAAAATCATATTTTGATCTATTCAAGAGTATTACTGCTTAATTAATGATGTTTTGGTGTTGGGATTACATATTACTACAATATTGATTACTTTGAAATTAAGAAAAAATGTATACAGTGATAATATTCTCGACCACTATATAATTAATAATAGGAGAGTATATATAATTAATTAGCACAATATAATTAATTGATCTTGATGACATAATGATATTAGTGATTAAGAATATAAGATAAATATACCGGAGTCAATAATTGAAGACACTGATAAGCATAGCTGTGTTAATACTGTTAACACTGAGACTGTCATAACAACAATATTAATGATATATTCATATTGATAGATATGAATGACAGATAACTGTAATACTGATAAATGAGGATATCAGTTACTTTAATATTAACAATGTATTATTATCAGCAATTGGGAATATTAATAAAATTATATTGTATAAAGGAGTATATCACCGATGGCAATAGCATTTCTTCATGATTAGATTTATCAAATAATGATTGATAACGGTTAAAAAGAAACAAATGGAAAATGTGAAATAATTATTTTTGTAATATACTGTTTAAATTTCAATTATTTCTTCATCTTGAAGTAATTTTTTCGTTTAAATACAGATCGTTCAAATTAATTTTTCCTTTATTTCATCTTTTTTTTTTTGCTATTGAGTCCAGTAAGCAAGTTAAAAATTGCAAAACAATAAAACTTATTGAAAGTATTTCTAATAAGTTTTATATTTTATTTGATACTGCTTACTTATTCGATTTTATTACTTTGAAATTAAAAATTTTTTGATTTTTTATTTTGATTTCATTACTTTGATATTAAAAAAAAAATTCAAATAATATCAGCAATGGGATATTGAAATATAAAGTAACTTAATGGAGTTTCAGTACTTTTTTTCCATTCATTTCCTTCTTTTTTTACAATCCAAATAGTTTTAATTGATAGAAGAAACGAAAAGTATTTGATTACTTCTATTTATTGCTATTGATAGAAGTTTAAGTAAATATTATTTATGTATTTCCTTTCTTAATTTAATACTATTTTATAAATTTCTTCCTTTTTCCTAAGCATAAATCATTTATGCATTTCATTTTTTGTTGTCATTCAATTTTTTATTTTATATGGCACTTATTATAAAGTTGTATAATGTACTGTACACATTTTTGTTTATCAAATTTGTTCAAATTTTTTTTTTTTTTTTTTTTTTTTTTTTTTGCAAAATTAAACAGTTAATGAATTTTTGCTGAATTGAATTGAAATTGATTTTCAAATTTTTATTTTTTAATTACTTATAGAAATATAATTTTCTTCAATCGCTTAATTGTTTAGCAATTTTTTTTCTAAATTCAATGACCGATATAGTTAATTATTAATTAGAAATTGAAGCAATGCTACGACTAATTACAATTGAACAATTTGGTATGACAAAAGCAAGCGAAGAACGCGTGGTGAAAATTTCATTAACAAATAATAATGGAATGAAAATTGAATTATTAAATTATGGTGCAATATTAATGAGTGCTTTGGTGCCCGACCGTAATGATATTCTACGAGATATTGTGCTTGGATTTCGAACACTGCAAGGTTTCTTTTTAATTTTTAAAAAGTTGAATTAAGTGGAAAAAAAGAAATGAAACAGAAATTATTTAAAGCTACCTTTTAATAGCCTTTCAATATCATGTGCTATTATTATTTGTTTTATTATTTTTATTATTATATTATTAATTATCATTATTTTGATTTTCTTGTCTAGAAAGTATCCATTTATTTATTACCACTTTTTATATTCTAATATTTCATTGAAAATTTTCATTTTCTAGTTTGTAATTAGCAATAATTAAGCGGAAATAATTAATATTCATGCATTTCTATTAACCAGTTTTGCTAGCAAAAACAAAGGAAATATTTCGTTTAAAATCTCTAATTAAAAAAAAAAAAAGCTAGTTATGACATTAGTAAATAATTTCACAAATTGTTCTATTTTATAACCAATAGCTAATATAAATGGGAGAGAGATGACAGATAAGAGCCAAGTTGAAAGTGAAAAATAGTGACTAATTGTTATTGTAGCAAATAAGATATGTTAGCCTCTTTTTATTTGCTACTTTTGTTTTACTTTTATTTTCTTCAACAATATATAATACATAAATTTAAATTGAATAGGAATTCAAGTTTAATTTATTTCATTCGTTTTCTGATGCTATTAATTTGAACCAAATAATGAATTTTAATTTGAATTATTGTGTTCGTTTATTGGTGATGTAAATTTAAATAGAACAGACAACGAATCTAAATTTAAATTATTACATTTATTTACTTATAATATGAAATATAAATATAAATTTATAGAATATGAATCGGATGCTTACAATATTGGTGCAATAATTGGTCGTGTTGCTGGACATATAAGTAATGGAAAATTTGCAGTGGACAGTCGAGAATATGAACTTGGCCTAAATGCGCCACCACATCATATGAATGGCGGTAGACGAGGAAGTTTATCGAAAGTTAGCATTGAATTTCGGACTTTTTTTCCCAAATAATTTGTAAAAAACTTTTTTTGCTCAAAAACTTGAAGGCATTGAATTCAATAAATTAGAAAGAAAAAGAAAGAAAAGAAGAAAGCGTTACAGCAAATTTTGACAACTCATAGCTAAAAACTAAAAGCTTGGATTGGTTCTTTCTTTTCAAATTTCAAAAATTTTTCATTTTTTTTTTCTCAATTTTTTGACAACTTATAACAAGAACTGAAAATTTGAATTGATTTTTTTGCTTTATTTTCATTTTTCTCATTTTTTGAATTAGAAAAAATATAATAATATTTATAATTGGAGGAATAAATTATAGAAATTATGGAATTATGAATTATTAGATGAAGGAAATGGTGTATGTTTCACATGTATTAGCCATGATGGCGAAGGAGGATATCCAGGACAGGTTAACTTAAATTCATATCAATCTAACGAATGTAATAATTTAAATTAGTTATTTTTTTGGTCGAAATTTATGCTATCAGTAAATTAATGTAATAATTTAAATTTAAATTTATAGCATCAGTAAACAGTTTAATTATTTAAATTTAAATTCATTATTTGATTAATTGCCACATAAAATGTTCGAATAGCAGTTGTATTTCTAACAATTTATCATCCAACAATTGTTAGTTAATCTTTTATCAACAAAAAGGAAAAAGAATAGCTGACCTTTGATCTATTCAAATTAATAATAAAATTACTCTGAACAATGCATATATAATAATTTTATGATATTAATTTATTTAATTACTAATGTTTCTATTTTTTTTTTTCAGTTTTTACTTCTTTTCAGGTGCATTTAGAGGTTACATATATATTAACAAATGAAAATGAAATAATAATTGATTATCGAGCTTCAACTAATAAATCAACAATATTAAACATCGCAAACAATGCTTATTTCAACTTAAATGGCGAGGTATATTTGTCGTGCGCAATTTTATTGCTTTGCAAGAAAGCATTTTAATTTCAAGCTTAATTAGCTTGTAAACAAACAATTGCAAATTGACTTACTGGACGGTGCAGCATTAACAGGTATTAACTGGAATCCAGTACTAACTGAATATCATAAAAGTCAGTGCATTTTCTAATCTAATATATCTAATATATTCTAATATATTTTATAATATTAGCTAATTAACGTTTACTTCACTTATCTTTTATGCATGGTTGTTAGCAAATTAAACATTTTTATTTACGCATTAATAATTTAAATTTTATAACAACATGATGAATTGAAAATACAACATAACAAATTGTACATCAAAAATTAAATTATTAATTGAATGTTATTTAAAATTTCCAGTTAATGTTTAAATTAAATTTATGCTGATTTTTCATATTTGTTGGTCCGCACCCAATACAATAAAAGTTTAAATCACTGCTGATAATTTCCATTTTTTTCTTGATTTAATTTCCAAATTTTTAAAATGGTTTCCTAATTTCTATTCAGTATTTTTAGCAATTAAATCACTAATTAGTCATTAATGCAAAGTTTTGTTTATTTAATTCTTTTTTAGGGAAAGTCGTCATTAAACGATCACATTATACAATTGTGCACTCCAAATTATCTTCCAGCAGATGAGAATGGTTTTGCAACAGGTAATTTCATATGATAATGTTAAAACAAAGTTCAGCTGGAGAATATTTACTTATCTTGAAATTAAACCATAAGTTATTTGAAATTACTTTTGAAAAAAAATAATCCAGCTTTTAATAATAAAGTAATAAGCTAGCTTTAAATAATAAAATGCCTACCTTATAATTTGAAATAATTAAAAACCATTCTATATTATTTTTTTCTTTTCATGAACAATTACGAATGTTAATGATAGTCGATTTAATTTCCTTGTTGAACGTAAAATATCAGATTTATTGGATAATGATAACAATCAGTTAGATTACAATCACGATTTCTGTTTTGAAATAGATGAATTAAATACATCTCGGAAAATTCGACATATTGCCAGGTTTTTGAAATTTTTTTTTTTTAAATTATATTTTGCAACCTTCGTTTTCTTTTTTTTTTCTTTTTTTGCCATAACAGAAAAGAAAGAAAAAGAAAATTCTGTTTAATTACTAAATGGTTTTTTGGATTTTTACAATTTCTCTTTTTGCATTTTTTTTTTTTTTTTGTTTTGCGAGTGTTAATTAATTAGCACTAATTATGCCTATAAGTAATTATAGTGTCGCATCTACTTCAAGTGGCATTAAGATGACAGTTTCTACGACATATCCATGTGTACATGTTAATATGGGTTCCTGGTTGAATAATCTTACCGGTAAAGCGAATCACGTTTACGAACGTTATTCGGCTTTCACGTTACAATGTCGCGGTCTAAGTGATGCAATAAATCAAGTACGTTAATTTTGCAGTATAAATATTCATACAAACAATTAGAAGAAATAATTATATATGGAATAATTATATTAAAAAAGTTATATTAAATTAATTTATTGAAACACTTATCAATGTATAATAATTTCTAATTACTATAGCTTTAATTATTAAGGAAGTATTGTATTACATAATTTTAGAAATATTTTTTAATAAAATTTTATTTTAAGCAAATAATCTTTTACTTCTTTGATTTAAATTATTTAATCTAATTTGTTAATTAAGATTTGACATTTTTTCATGTTACATTTATTTTAACTTTATCTAATGTTAAAATGTTAAAAATAAAAATATACTTCTATTTATCATATAACAGTTTGTTATGTGAAATAAATTTTAACATTCTCACTACCATTATTCTATTATCACTACCATTGTTATCACGATCATTATCACTTAATATTATCACTAATATTATAACTAGAATATCATTGTTACATATTTCAGCCACACTTTCCCACAATTATTTTACGACCGGATGAACTGTACCAACATCTTACTGTTTATCGATTTGGACTTGTTGACGAATAATTTCTACGACCATATTAATTGATCTCATCATTGTTTATTTATCTTATATTCATAGATTATTAATAAAAAATATATGTTCAAAGTTTTACTAAATTTAGTATAAAATTGTAGTTTGAAATGAAAAGTTTAGATCAAAGTATACTTAATTTCGATTTCAGCTACAAGACTGGCAAGAAATTAACTGTCAACTAATTCATTAATTCGATTAAATCAACAAATTAAACAATTTTATAATTATTTTTAAGTCAAAATGCATAAAGAGTATTGTTATCGAAACCGAAATGTGATGTCACTAAATATGCATGCCGGAACCGGAATGATGTGTTGTTTGTTAAAGTTAAGTTGATATAGCGTAGTAATCGTGACATTCAATGCATTGCATTGATACATTAAGCATAGCTAAATTACTAATTCGGCAAACTTGTTGACATTGAGAAGAAAACATGTTATATCATTTGTTCTTTGATCATTTGGATAACTGATTTCAAGTTTTTAATTTTAAAGGATGAAAAAAAAGTTTAGAAATAAATAAAGCAGTTGAAGATTGATTTCCTTATTCAATATTTTCTTCATATTTAATTTCATAACAAGTGAAATATGAAAAAGAAGACACAAAATAAATAATAGAAAAATAAAAGATGAACTGTTTCAAATTTGTTTCCCATCTTTTACAATTGAAATTTAAATATTTTTCAACAAAAAAAAGTAAATCTATTTGAATTAAATTTTTTATCAGTTAATTACTAGAAATTTAATGTTTTTTAAAGAATACTTAAAATGTTCTGCATGAAAAGCAATTTAGGCGAAGTGCGATTTTGCATGCAGAGGAATTTTGCATGCAAGGCAGCAATTGAGCATAAAATCCCATTATTTTTGTTACGACGAATTTTGTTTATACTTTAAAATGAATTGCATCAAATCATTTGTTCTAATAAAAAAAAATTAGAATGATGAAATAAATTGACAAAATGAAGAATTCATATAATTTGAGCTATTTTTTTTAGGATTTTTACAAATGCTAACGCTATGATTTCTTATTTTATATTTACAACTATAATTATTGTTAAAAATTTAATCAAAATAATTTAATTTTATTATTTTGAGTAAATTTTAAGTTATGAAACTAATTTGGATTAATCACGTTGAAATTTATCTATTTATAATATCGTTTATACTAACGCTTGCATTTGAAATATCACAGTAACGTAAAAATCTCGTAATGGATTACTGCTATACGTTCTATCTAACACGTATGTATTCATAATAAAGTGTATATGAAAGAATAATGTACGTAAGTATAAAATTTAATACAACTTTGAATGTAACTTATTAAAAATTTAATACAACTTTGAATGTAACATATGAATGTAACTTATTAAAAATTTAATACAACTTTGAATGTAACTTATTAACTTTTTTTTTTAATACAATTGCTAGGCAAAGACATATACATTTAGGTACAAAATCATGACAATCAATCACACAGGCATTGGTCGAGCATGGAACTGAACTTTCTTACGAATCACAGCAGCAATTTGTGCAATTCCTTGGTTTTCAGCATCTCGTCCGAGTACAATCAGCGGATTTTGAAGTTTCACTTCTTTCCCTTCAATAATGTGATAGCCAATATGAAGTAAAGCCTGGAAAAGAAAAATATTCAATTGCTTACTTTATTCTACTTAAGTTGTAAGTGTTTAAGTCATGAGTGTAAATGTCCCATTATAGCTTTTTTTTTTTTTTTCAAAGATACAAATTCTGGTAGTGAGATAGTATAGAATTTAATACAACTTTGAATGTAACTTATACTCTTGAACTCATTTATTTGGAAAAAAGGAACACTTTTTTGTTTTCCCATTTTAAGCTACCAATTCGTTGTCTTACAAGTATACCAGCTGACTCTAAAGTCCCCTGTAATTCAATCATTGCCCATTCCGCGATGCCATCTCTGAAAAAAAAAGTTCTATTCTTGTTCCATTCATCTTTTATCTGTTTATTCTATTATAATTACTTTAGTCAACGTAAAAAAATTTGTACTATCACATTATTCGTGTAAAAAGATTTATTTTTGCTCATTATGCTTTAGCGGGAAATAAGTCATAGGCTGTCAGTATTGCAAACATGCTCCCTTGGAGAACGGTGAGCTGAGTTTTCCGCTCCCCTCTCCTCCTTCTCTCCCCTTTCTCCCCTCTTCTTCCCTCCCTCTCCTGTCTTCTTACTCCTGCTTCTCCCTCTTCTCCTCTCCCTCCCTCCTGTCCTCTTACTCCTCCTACATCGCCCTCTTATCCTTCCTCTTCCTCTTTCCTTCTTCTCATCCCTCCCCTCTTCTCCTCTTTCTTGCCCTCTCTGTCTCTTCCCTCTCCCTCCTCGTCTCTCACTCTTTCCTCTCCCTCTTTGCCTTCTCTCCCTTCTCTTTCTTCGCTACTCCCTTTTGTCCTCTCTCTCCTGTCTCTCTATCTGTCCCCTCTCCCTTTTCTATCCTCCCTGCCTCCTGTCCTCTCTCCCTCCTCTTCCTCACAAGGGAGAGGGAGAGGCGGGAGTAAGAGGACAGGAGAGAGCGGAGAAAGGAGAGGAGGGGAGAAAGAAAAGAGGGGGAAGGGGAGGGCAGGAGAGAGGACAGGAGGGAGAGGGGAGAAGAGGGAGTGAGACGAGGAGGGAGAGAGGACAGGAGGCAGGGAGGGTAGAAAAGGGAGAGGGGACAGATAGAGAAACAGGAGAGAGAGGACAAAAGGGGAGTAGCGAAGAAAGAGAAGGGAGAGAAGGCAAAGAGGGAGAGGAAAGAGTGAGAGACGAGGAGGGAGAGAGAAGAGACAGAGAGGGCAAGAAAGAGGAGAAGAGGGGAGGGATGAGAAGAAGGAAAGAGGAAGAGGAAGGATAAGAGGGCGATGTAGGAGGAGTAAGAGGACAGGAGGGAGGGAGAGGAGAAGAGGGAGAAGCAGGAGTAAGAAGACAGGAGAGGGAGGGAAGAAGAGGGGAGAAAGGGGAGAGAAGGAGGAGAGGGGAGCGGAAAACTCAGCTCACCGTTCTCCAAGGGAGCATGTTTGCAATACTGACAGCCTATGACTTATTTCCAGCTAAAGCATAATGAGCAAAAATAAATCTTTTTACACGAATGTGATAATGTGATAGTACAAATTTTTTTACGTTGACTAAAGTAATTATAATAGAATAAACAGATAAAAGATGAATGGAACAAGAATAGAACTTTTTTTTTCAGAGATGGCATCGCGGAATGGGCAATGATTGAATTACAGGGGACTTTAGAGTCAGCTGGTATACTTGTAAGACAACGAATTGGTAGCTTAAAATGGGAAAACAAAAAAGTGTTCCTTTTTTCCAAATAAATGAGTTCAAGAGTATAAGTTACATTCAAAGTTGTATTAAATTCTATACTATCTCACTACCAGAATTTGTATCTTTGAAAAAAAAAAAAAAAAAGCTATAATGGGACATTTACACTCATGACTTAAACACTTACAACTTAAGTAGAATAAAGTAAGCAATTGAATATTTTTCTTTTCCAGGCTTTACTTCATATTGGCTATCACATCATCGAAGGGAAAGAAGTGAAACTTCAAAATCCGCTGATTGTACTTGGACGAGATGAATCTTTGATCAATGAAAACAGGACATCAACAGTAGAAGCAATGCAAACCTCTTTCGATCCTAAAATGAATAGTGTTATTCAGAACGTTCGATCAAAAACTGCCGATAATTTTAAGGTTGGATTTTATAGTTCTGTTAAATTTGTAAAACATCTGGGCTTTTGATAAAAAATCATTGTTCAGGGGGGAAATTTAAAATAACCTTTTCAAATGCTATAGTGATATGTTGATTTTCAATATCAATTTATATTCTTTATTTTTTTTTAAATTTTTCAGAAACAAAAAAAAAGATTTTGGAGCTCGAATGTTTTTCACAGCACTGATTTGCCAATTCCATAGTTACTATTTGATTTTTTGCAAACTTTTACAGGTATATCGAAAATGTGTTAATGGTAAGGGATCCTACCATTGCTGGTAGCTACCGCTATGTTTTAAATCGATTACAATCATCTTTAATAGGTAAAGCAGGAGAATAATGCGTTGGTATTATTTGCTAGATATAAAAAGTTAGCAAGTGTGCGTGGTGAACTAAAATAAATTTTGTACAAATCTTGTCAGGTTTTGTAATTTCTATGTCATATTTTATTTTGTTCTAAAAACAGTAATGATATGTCAAAGATATCACTGTAACAAAGCAGTCCTGATCTATTGCTTTCGTTCTGGCTTTCCAGGTTTAAGCGTTGTATTTCCGTAAATAGGATTCTCTCATTCTCCTACATAAAGTTTATATATTTTTTGGGATAGTATGCGGGTTGAGATCCAGTCGGCCAAAAAATGTGTTAATTAACAATATGCTTGCCGTCTAAGTTTGAAACAATTTTCTTTATCATCGACAAGAATATTTTGAAAGACATTTTTTAATCGAATGTCTCAAAAAGTATATTTTATGTATGATTTTTTTACAGTCTGTATAAAAGGTAGGCAAAAATTTATGTGTGATTTCACTTTATTATATACTGAGGAAGTTTGGTACAGCAGAGAAACCAAATATAGAAGAAAATCAAGAAAACATCAAATAGAGAATACCCTTTCTAAATTATGATCGCATTTCAGTTTTCTGTTCGTAACGTATATACGTCATTAGTTGCGAACATATTTTTAATATTTTACAATATTTAAATGTAATATTTTCAAGAATTCATACTGAATAAAAGCCAAGAAAAAAAAATAAAATGAAAAAAATGAATTTTTATCAGTTAATAATTAAATATAATAAAAATTATAATTTTAAAAGATTTCTTTTTGTTTTTATATATTGGAAACACAGCAAATTGCAATATTAAATTTTGATGGAACAGAAATTAAAAAAAAAAAAAGAGAAAAACATTGTATTTCATAAATTGGATTAATTTTGATTCCCATCTCAGATCAATAATTTTTTGTTTTTCATTCAATTTTGTTTAATATATTTTTGTAATTTAGGTAGTTTAAATTTTGTAATTTAATATCATTATTTTACTTATCATAATAAAAAAATTAGTTTGTGCGAATGGCAAAGTGCACTCAATGCAATCATCAAAAGAATTTAAAAGGAATTCATAGAATATTTGTAACAAATTAATATATTTATTATACGAAATAAATTCAACACAAAATCAATTAAAATTAGCCAGCACAAACTTTTACTTAGAAAAATTTGTCATAGAATCATAGAAAACATTTTAGACATTTTCACTTACTCTAAATAAATTTATAATTTCATTTAAAAAATATTTTGTTGAATAGGAATGAAATTAAATGAAAGAAAAAAAGAAAAACAAAGGAGTTTGACGAAATAATTTCCTCCTTCTTAAATCTAATTATTCAGATAAATTTGAAAGTAATACCTCAAGATTAAGTCATAATCAAATAAATGCCAAATTTTTATTTTTAGTTTTATTATTTTTATTACTTTTCATCACTTTTAATTTCATATCGTCGATAATAGCATTAATTTGATTGCTGTCAAATTTTAATAAATATTTAATTAAATTAAGCTCAATGAACCAACAAAAACAACAACAATAAATTTATTGTTCATATCGAAAAGTTTTTCATTCGGATTTTTTGCGTAAGTTAAGCGGAACTTTCCTTACGTGGGATTTGTTTCAAATTGCCTCTTTTACGATTAAGTTGTTTCACATTAACAATGACAAGTATTACTGACAGAATTGTAAATATCGCTGAAATAATAATAATTTGTAGATTTACTCAAAGAAGATCATTGGTGTTTTGTAGGTTGTGAAAATTTAAATTATGTTTTAATCAGACTCCTTTATTCTTTCCCTCCTCTAAATTCTCTACTAATATTCAAATTGTAAATTTATGTTTTAACGGTAATGGAAAATCAAATTATCGCTGCAACCTGTGTATTAGTAAATTATGTGCAAATCAAATTTTTAAAGCAAGTCAAAATCTTTAAAATTAACCAAGAATAATAACTGCCCATGTTGTTGTCATTGGATCATCTTTTTCTAGCCTGAAATTCTACTTACTTTACAGTCAGAGTTATCAGTATGCTTTACTATATAATATTTATAATAAACTTAAGACTAATGCATCGAAAAGAATATTTGGAGAAAAAAAAAAAGAAATGAGCAAATAGTAAATAAGCCAATTTTTTGATACTTTGTAAATTTAAGTATAATTTTGAAATATGCATCGCTACCATCTTCAGCCATAGTTGCCATTCCAACATACGGCCATCGCGTATCATCCTTATGAGCGCCTTAAAATTGAAATCGATAATTATACTTATATGTATCCATATCTTTCATTAAAAAAAACATGTAATTACCACAACGGAAAGTAATCAAATATAAGTTAATTTGCAGTATATACGTGAATTTATACATGAATAGCAAATTTATAAGCAATGTGCTATGAATTCCCTCCGTAGATATTTCCTTTTACTAAAGAAACTTGCCTTTATGTTCTTGTAAATTGCGATCTGTTCTGGTAGTCGCATGGAACACCCTGCTTCAGGTGTATCTCAACCAAGAGTTAGACAGGTGTGCGTCTAAGAAATTATTAGCTTTATGTGTAAAGGACAGTTCTAAACTTGGTAGAAGCTCATCTAAGAGGATACCTCACACAGACGAACCTAGAATTTCGCCATCTCGGAGTTTTCTAGAGAATTAGTAATAACATAAAATAAGGTTGTATTCTCGCATGAGTCATATTGCATTATTTTCAATACATTTCTGCGAAGAGTAATGGCAGAACTCAATGAGGGAATCGTATCACGAGGGTATCGTAGCACGGAAGTGTATCGTATCACGAAGGTATCGTAGCACGAAGTGTCGTATCACGGAAGCCTATTCGATTTCAGATGATTCAAAAAACATATCAAAACTCTGCATCATCTTTTCCGAGAGCTACTAATTACTTACCACGAATTAGTTAGTACATATGTGTATAAATTAGCATACCAATAATCAATAAGCTTTTTTTATTTGGTGCAATAGCAACACGTTGTAATGAGCATGATAACTGATAGTTATAATCAGGTACTTGATAAGATCCTGATTTCCAAATCACCTAAAATAGATTTCTAAATCACCTGAAATACTTAACGCATACTACAATTTTTATTTATAATTTGTTTTTGTTTAATATGTAATAAATAATGAAAAAAAAAAAAAAAAAAAAAAAAAACGAAGCTGTAATAGTACAATAATTTACATATGATTATTTTAGATTGATATTTATTAAAGTATGAAATAAGTACTAGTTAAATACTTTGATAATTGTTCCAAAAATTGTTTCATTAATATTAATCAAATAATTATATCCAGATTTCAATGAACCATAATTTTCAAGAGCATTTATATAAATTTCTTCATTGAATAATTCCGTACTACATCCATCAAATTCGCTCTTCGATGATTGTGCAAATTTCAATGGACGCATTTTCCCAGTAGAAATTCGTACCTATAAGTTATTTTGATACAAAAAATTTATAAATTTATTCAGAACTATTTCTTGAAAATTTTCTTCCCCCCAAAAAAATTAAGAGCTTACTTTCTTACAATGTCATAAATATATGCTTGACTTAGACAATATTATTTGCTTAATGATAAATTTAATTTATCAGTTAAATAGCATTTTTAAAATAGTTGTTATTGTTTTATAAATATTAATTTAGCCAAATTTAGCAAAAACATGAACAGAAGAAAGTCCACTTTTTGTGCATCTTGGCGACATTTCTCGAGAATATTACAATCTAATTTTTGTGCTAGCTCATCACAACTTTCTGATTCCACAAATAATCCTAGTCGACCTTTCATTTTTTGTATTGCATCATTTTTTCCAATCATCTGCATTAGTCAGTATTATTTGTTGAAATTTTTTTTCTACAAAATAATAAAAGTTTCATGCTTGATAATTGTTTAAAAGATTTGCTTAATTCATTTAGCAATTAAGCAAAAAAAAAAAAAAAAAATTTGGAATTAAAATGTTAACTAAATTTTTTTTAAATTATAATCGCTATCATAATTTTTTTAAAAAAAATCAATTATAATAACAACTACAATTAGTGCTGTTTCATCCTGCTTATATCAACATTTTGCTAACAATAAAAGATTATAGTTAACAAAATGAAGAAAATAATTAAAATTTTTTCAAAAAAACTATAAAATTTAAAAATTAAAAAATAGTAACAATTCAATTAGTCTCGAATTTTTTTCCTGAATAATTATAAAAACTCTCATTTTCTCTTCCTGAATTTCACATTATTTCATTCCGATTTAAATTAGCTATTATATTTCATTTAAATTACTATCTATCAAGTTTCTATTTAGTATTAAGCGATATTTAGAAACACAATACCTTATCAATGAGATGCTGTCGTAATTTTCTCCAGTAAGCATCAGTGATCATTAAGGTAGAATGAATGGGAATACCTGTGGTGAAGTATGGATCTGAACTAAGGTATTTATCAAATGTCATTATCACTTCTTCCATGTATTTTTCATCTACTGAAACATTGAGTGACAATGTTACCTGTAATAATTTAATAATTATTGTTTTATAATATATAAATTTCATCAAGGATTTAATCAAAATTACCTATCTAAATATTTAAGCAATTAATTTTTTAATTTCAACAGACACATTCATTTATCTTCTCTCTGCTCATTTTACTATTTCAAATTTTTTAAATCCTTCTTTATTCTAATACAATATGTTTTAAGATTCGTTTTATTAGTTTGCTTTACTATTTTTAGCCTCCTACTTTTATTGTCCATGCAACACTTACATAAATTAATTTACAAAATTAAAGTATCAATCAAAAAATATTGAATTATAACATTAGAATTATAATCACTTCACCCTTAAAATCAATTATTTAAAAATAAGGCATAAACTGAAGCAATTTGAATCATAAAATTCAAAATCAATTGCATAGTCTAAGAAAACATCAAACTAAGTGAATGAATTAAATCAATTAAATTACATAAAGAAATCAAAGTAACGAACATTGATTTAAGCAAATGTAATAAACAGATAAATTCTTTGCGCATAAATTAATTTACAAATTTAGGATTAGTTGTTTGTGTTAAAAAATGAAATGATTACTTTTTTTAATGGATCGATTTTAAATAATGATAGATATGCTAAGCGAGAACGATAACTTTCTAACTTTCTGCTGCAAAAAGAGAAAAGGAAACAAATAGGAAATAGAAAAGTAAAATAAATATTTATACTGAAGCAATTATTTTTCACTTTAATTTCTTGCTTTAAAATAAATATATTCTAAATTTATGTTCCTATTTTAGGCATTTTGAAACCCAAATAAGCAATCTCAGCATTCCATAATTTTTATATTCTTGTTATCAAAGAGAACCAAAGGTTAAAGGTTATAGAGATCAGCTAAAGAAATATTAATGACTGAGTCACAATGATTATTAATCAATAAAAAATCGAACTATTTAGATAAATTTTTTTTAAGTAAAAAAACTTTTAAAATAATAACTTTTTCTAATTAACTATTTGTTTATTAATTTTTTTCTGGATGAAGAGAGAGTAATCAAGATTAGATGAATAAATTATAAATACCATTCATCTTTGTAGAGAGCAAATTCTCGACGACAAACACTTGCTGTACAACAGCATGCCGTGCAACATGACCATTGCTCATAACCGATATCAATTTTCAAATTATATTCCAATTTTAGGATAGGATGAAAATTTGTTGGTATCGATTGATAATCACGAATACGATAACGATAATCTAATTTACCAGAATCATCTTGGCGACGCTAACAAAATTTTATAATTAATTAATCTTGTCCTATACTTTACTTTACATTATTCTATTATATATATATATATATATATATATATTCAACAACTTTTTTTTTTTCACCAAATCTAAATTTATCACTTCGACTAGTGCATACATTTAGCCTAAACAGATGAAATTAGATAACAATTAATATAGCAAAATTATTTGGATTAATTAACAAAGTGATAGATATTTTAATATTGATATATCGGATAAGTATGGTATTAATAAACTAATTAAAAAATTTTTTGTCTGAAATCGTTAAACTTTTTAAGCTAATGGCTTTTCTTTTCATATTACTAATTAATAAAATTTGCATTAACCTCTTGAAAAGAATGATATTTTGTTGTGCATTCTTGTTTATGCTCATCAGAAAAATGTATACTGAATAGGCATTCCGGTTTTTCATCAACCGGATCTTCCACAAGCGTGTCTACGTTAACTATGACATCCGTTTCAATCAATGTACCATCAACTTGCTAAATTACAAAAATTAATTATAAAATTAGAGAAAAAATTTCATTCAAATTTTATAACAAAATAAAAAATAATTTGATTTTTAAAAATTTTTCAAATAATTAAGCGATAAATGATAATTTAATAAAATTGTACTTAATTTAACTGAAGGTTGCAAAATTAAAACCTGTGCACAAACAATACTCATACTATTGAAATGTGGATAGTATTGTCGAAGACGTCCCGGATCCGGATTGATTCGTAAACGACCATCAGGAATTGGTATTGCTACTTCAAAATCATCCCTTTAAAGCGATTTTAAATCTTTCATTAGTTGAATTATTTTTTAAATATAACATTTTTTTTTATATCAATGTAATACTAGTTTTGATTTACCCACTGGCAACCAATCGATTCCACCAACGATCAGCAAGAAATGGTCCACGGAATGTTGTTCGTCTCTCTTCAAAATTCGGATCCGTAAATTCTACAAATTCATTTGTTGAATGAAAAATTAATTAGTACTATAAAAATTTATAGCTAATTTTTTAATTTGAGAAAGAATTCAATTGTACAACCCATTGATAATGAACCAAATTATAGTTTATTGATATTGATAATCCAATTATATAACTTACTGATAACAATTTCAACTACAACTTATTAATAATAAATCGAACTACACAACTCACTGATAATAAATTAGTCAATCCCAATTATAACTGATATAAATTAAGATATTTTCTAAATTAATAGCTGAAGCAAAAAAAAAAAAAGTTGTCAACATATTTGAAAAAGAACTGTTAATAACTGTTAAAATTTAAATTTCAGAAATTTCTACTTAAGCTAGAAAGAATGAAAGAAAATAAATAATTGAAATGTATATAATACTAACTTTTAGTTGCAAAATTATATAAAAATGCAGCAAATGGTATTCGATGATATTGTCGTTTTTTCAATATTTTTTTCCTTTTAATTATTTTTATTTTAGTTGTTGTCGAATAATTGGTGACAGTTTGAGTGGTTGTCATATTGGTTCTGTTGACAAATAATGTTGAAATTGTTGAAGGATGTTTTGTAGTTTGTAATCGTTGATTATTATCATTATCATTGATATCTTTATATTCATCTTCATTTTGTATGTCAGTTTCATAGGCGGAAAAGGCTTCGACACGTTTATCAAGCGGAATTGACGCGAAAACATCTCTACAAAGAAAAATAATGCGTAAACAAAGCTTTGACATTTGCGAAAATGTAAATTATTTCGGAAACTCACAACAAAAGGAAAAAATTGTTTAGGAAAAAAAATCTTATGAACTTAATAATTTTATAAAATTCAAAAGCGATATTTGAAAGAATTAAAATATTATTATATGTTATAAGCTTTAACTGTCCGTTTTTAAAATTTCCTCTACAATAAATTATTTTATATGCAATGAAATTTTAGTAGAAATTTAAATTAATTAAAAATTGATGTAAATCTTAATTTATGTCAAAATTAAAACCTTCGTGGAAGCATATAAAAGGTATTAACAATATTGGCTGATGGTAGTTTCTTCAAGCAAGTAAAACATGGTATCTGTAAATAAATAAACAACTTATCATTTAAATCTAAAATTTATTAACTTCAATTTAATAAGTCTAAAACTTTTAACTTATGGCTTTAAAAATGAAAATTTGATATTAATTTCTGTTTGAAAAAAGAAGTTTTCAGTCAAACAGAATGATCATTAATCGATTATGTTAACCTAAATACTTAAAATTTAAAAGATTTTAAAATAAATGACTATTTTAAATGATGTTTTTGCTAATACCCCGCGATTGCTTTATTCTAGCAATTTATCCCGGTATTTCCTTAACAATATGAAATGCTCGCAGTATATTTTACACCGATAATTGTTATTTAGTTGCGGAAAAAAATCCAATTAAAAAAGAAGATTGGAAAAGTTTACTTCAAAAGGCATATTTCTTTCATGCATTAATGAAATGATCCGTTGATTGCCAAATACAAACGGTGCATTCTCTTTGTGGCAACTTGAAAAATTAAAATTAAAAATTTTTTAAAAAAATTTAGTAAAATCAGGTTATCCAAATTAGTTTACTTTTTAGATACAAAATTCAAATTAAATTTTACTTATAACATGATAGTATTTGGTTAAAGTCTATATTTAAAGAAAATTTAGCAAGCAAAATATATCAGTCAAATTGATAAAAATATGCCAAATTTTTCTTTGATTTCTTTTATTTCAAATTACACTTTGATTATAACATAATCAAAATTTTTTAAATAAAATTTATCGAACAAAATTATTTACATTAATTAATTTGAGTAAACGATGGAATTTGCTCGACATAATTAAATTAAATTACATTTTAAATGATATTTTAATTACATTTAGTTTATCCACTGGTTAAAAGAAATAAAGAAAGAAGTAAAATTTGCTTCAAAATTATTTTAAAAGAAAAATTTTAAAGCTTAAAGACTAAAACTATTGCATGTAAATTTTGGAAATTTAAAAACAAAAATCACAATTTTTGTACTTTTTTTTGTTTTTTCTTTCTTTTTTTTGGATAAATCTAATGAAAGCTGAAATATATAAATTAATTAATTAAAATATATAATAAATTTTTAAAAATTAACTTACTCATTACCTAGATGGACAAGATTTCTAAAGTATAATCGCTTATGAATGATATAGCCTGCACGTTGTTGCTCATTTGCTAAAACTTCCTTATATTGCTAAAATTTTAAACTTATGTTAAAATTTCTTATCGCAATTTAAAATTTAAATTGGTTAGTACTAATTGAAAATGTCTTAATTTTATTTCCATTCATTGACATAACCATCAATAATTTATTACAGATCAATGTTAACGTATGTTATTTACATTTTTCATCGAAATCACAAAATCAATGATATTTTGTGTTTCATATTTGATAAGAAAAAAAAAGAAAGAAAAAATTTTTATATTTTACAAAAAAAAGTACAAACGTTGATGTAATCTGGCATTATGGTAATTTTATCTTTTATAGGAATGGAAAAGTTCTGAATTGCTTGATTAATTCGAAATAATCCGAGTGGCATTGATGTTTCGTAGTAATCTGGGAAACTACTGAAATTTTCTGTAATTATTAAACTTTCTGTAATTATATAATTAATTTTTATAACTTTTTTTTTTAGTATTTTATCAATTATAATTACTGAAAACTTTTTTTTTTCTTTTTTGTTAGGGGTTTAATTGGCATTAAGTAAAGTGATAACTTTTAGGCTAACCTAGAAATCAGTTTTGATTTATCAAAATGTTTCAAATGAAATCCATTTAATACTGAAGACATAATTTATCAGTTCATTTACATGTTTCAGATCAGATCAATAAAGCTAGTGATCAATACATAACCTATCGATATATTCTAGAACGGGTTAACATATTAGCTAATGAATAACCCTTATCATCCTAATCAGTTTGACTCTATCAGTCTAATGTCCATCATACTGGCCAGTATTGACCACTTAACAAGAAAGAGACTTAATTAATGATTTGCTTACAGTTCAGAGAAATCAATTGTTGCGGTAGGATCATTAGCTCTTTCATCAGCTGGAAAGCAGTCGAGCAGGTATTGGCGAATCATTGTTGTCATCAATATATCGGACTTGAACCATGGTAGCAAGTCTTCAATCAATTATGATTAAAATATCGATTATCGATTATTGAATTTAATAGATACATTATTATTATTATTATTATTATTATTATTATTATTATTATTATTATTATTATTATTATTATTATTATTATTATTAATTATTATTATTATTATTATTATTATTATTATTATTATTATTATTATTATTATTATTATTATTATTATTATTATTATTATTATTATTATTATTATTATTATTATTATTATTATTATTATTATTATTATTATTATTATTATTATTATTATTATTATTATTATTATTATTATTATTATTATTATTATTATTATTATTATTATTATTATTATTATTATTATTATTATTATTATTATTATTATTATTATTATTATTATTATTATTATTATTATTATTATTATTATTATTATTATTATTATTATTATTATTATTATTATTATTATTATTATTATTATTATTATTATTATTATTATTATTATTATATATATTATTATTATTATTATTATTATTATTATTATTATTATTATTATTATTATTATTTATTATTATTATTATTATTATTATTATTATTATTATTATTATTATTATTATTATTATTATTATTATATTATTATTATTATTATTATTATTATTATTATTATTATTATTATTATTATTATTATTATTATTATTATTATTATTATTATTATTATTATTATTATTATTATTATTATTATTATTATTATTATTATTATTATTATTATTATTATTATTATTATTATTATTATTATTATTATTATTATTATTATTATTATTATTATTATTATTATTATTATTATTATTATTATTATTATTATTATTTATTATTATTATTATTATTATTATTATTATTATTATTATTATTATTATTATTTATTATTATTATTATTATTATTATTATTATTATTATTATTTATTATTATTATTATTATTATTATTATTATTATTATTATTATTATTATTATTATTATTATTATTATTATTATTATTATTATTATTATTATTATTATTATTATTATTATTATTATTATTATTATTATTATTATTATTATTATTATTATTATTATTATTATTATTATTATATTATTATTATTATTATTATTATTATTATTATTATTATTATTATTATTATTATTATTATTATTATTATTATTATTATTATTATTATTATTATATTATTATTATTATTATTATTATTATTATTATTATTATTATTATTATTATTATTATTATTATTATTATTATTATTATTATTATTATTATTATTATTTTTTTTTATATTATTATTATTATTATTATTATTATTATTATTATTATTATTATTATTATTATTATTATTATTATTATTATTATTATTATTATTATTATTATTATTATTATTATTATTATTATTATTATTATTATTATTATTATTATTATTATTATTATTATTATTATTATTATTATTATTATTATTATTATTATTATTATTATTATTATTATTATTATTATTATTATTATTATTATTATTATTATTATTATTATTATTATTATTATTATTATTATTATTATTATTATTATTATTATTATTATTATTATTATTATTATTATTATTATTATTATTATTATTATTATTATTATTATTATTATTATTATTATTATTATTATTATTATTATTATTATTATTATTATTATTATTATTATTATTATTATTATTATTATTATTATTATTATTATTATTATTATTATTATTATTATTATTATTATTATTATTATTATTATTATTATTATTATTATTATTATTATTATTATTATTATTATTATTATTATTATTATTATTATTATTATTATTATTATTATTATTATTATTATTATTATTATTATTATTATTATTATTATTATTATTATTATTATTATTATTATTATTATTATTATTATTATTATTATTATTATTATTATTATTATTATTATTATTATTATTATTATTATTATTATTATTATTATTATTATTATTATTATTATTATTATTATTATTATTATTATTATTATTATTATTATTATTATTATTATTATTATTATTATTATTATTATTATTATTATTATTATTATTATTATTATTATTATTATTATTATTATTATTATTATTATTATTATTATTATTATTATTATTATTATTATTATTATTATTATTATTATTATTATTATTATTATTATTATTATTATTATTATTATTATTATTATTATTATTATTATTATTATTATTATTATTATTATTATTATTATTATTATTATTATTATTATTATTATTATTATTATTATTATTATTATTATTATTATTATTATTATTATTATTATTATTATTATTATTATTATTATTATTATTATTATTATTATTATATCAATGATTTAATATAACAGATATGTTAGTGTGTATTCAATGAATAACTAATATATCAAATAATGCTGCTTACAATTTCATCTTACTTTAATCTAAGGTATTTAATTTATGCTTTAATTTAATATATTTCCATTTCAAGTAAGCATTTGATATAAATACTGAATTTCAGATTTACCATAAAGTGTAAATTTTTTGATTTATACCTAATATTTAATAAATAATTTCAATTTAGCAAAATTGATACCTTTAAATTTGCGGTAATAGCCTTGTTGTTGTTGTAAATAAGTTTCAAAGCTACATTTTTGCAAATAATCCTCTTCATTTTTGAACCAACTAATTGCAAATAATTTCCTGAAATCAATAAATGATTACTAATTCAAAGTTAAAAATTTTCAAATTAATTTTATAAATTATTTTTAATAAACAATTTGCAAATATTATCACAAATTCATCTACCGTATATTTTTCTACGATTATAATCAAATAAATTATTCACAATAAAATAATTACATTTTTTATTTTTTATTTTTTTGGTTAAAGCAAACTTAATTTTTTCTACCAAAAACTTTTATCACTTAAACGTTATTTGATTCATTTGAGAAAGAAATTAATTTTTATACCAATTTTCTTTTTTTTTTTTTGTCCATTTGTAAATATTTTTCTTTGGCAAAAAAAATAAGCAAAGTTTTGAGAGAAATAAATAAAATTAAAATAATTTCTAAAAATTAGATCAAACTTGATGCAAAATTTTACCGATTAAATTGACAAAAAATGAAAGTAACAATAATGACAGCCGCACGATTCATTGGATTTTTTGCAATTTGTTTATTATCAAATTATTTGTCCCTTTTTTCAATATATTATTTAGAAATATTTATGCAAATTTCTTTGAGTTTTATAAAACTTTGTCTTTTTTTTGCAAAATTTTTTATTTAATTCAAATTTATTTACTATCACTTTTTTTTCTATTCGATATTGTAAAAAATTTTGTTCGAATTTGATTGCTACCATTTCAATGATTTGTTTCTCTATTTTATCTATTTGCAAATTTTAATTTAATTAAATTTGTTTTAAACTTCTATATTTAATTAATTAACAGTTCATTAAGCGTATTAATTAGTGCTATTAATTATTTCAAATATACCATGCAAAATATGTTTTCCCGCAATAATCTTAGCATAAATTTTAGATTATCAATCATAAATTTCATTCTTTTACATTAGCCATTAATTATTAGTTCTATATTTAATTTCGTTTTATTTAATTTCATTGTATAAATAATTTTGTCATTATTAATTAGTATTTGCATATTTCATTTCTTTAATTTACATTTGTAATAATTAATTTCTCCATCTTTGCTATTAATTTATGATTTTTTATTTAATTTTAATTTACACTTTATTCATATTTTATATTATTTCTTTGCTTTTGTTTACTTAGATTTTTGAAATTTCATCTAATTCATTGGAAATGGAATAATTTATTAATGACTGTATCACTATTTATAATCTTTAATATATAAAATTGACAAAATTTAAAATGAAAATTTTTTAAAAATGATCTTTTTTCTTGATTAATTATTCTGTAAATGTTCAATTTAATCAATAATTTTGCTAACATACTTTTCTATTTATCATTTTAATTACCACCCATTATTACATTAAAAAAAAATTCTCTCATTAATTTAAAGAAAGTAAAAAAAGAATGAAAATTCATCGATTTTATCATTAATCATATCAAAAAACATTAATCACTCAGTAATTTTTAAGAGAAATTTGGTAAAAGAAAATAATATATAAATAAAAATAAAATAAAATAAAAAGAACAAAAAGCAACAAAAACAAACAAACAAATAAACAAATAGGCAAAGCAGGTTTAGACGACATGGATGCTGTATACATCATTGTCAACCATTTTCAGTTATTATTTTGTCGCCTTCTATTATTACTAACTTTCTTCACCAATTATTTATTTCAACAAATTGTTATTGGTAAATTTCGTTTTGCATATATTAGTGTTACAACAGGTAATCAATTCTATTATTAAATAAATTAATTTGATTTTTTCAAAAATCTCAGCAAAACATTTTTTTTTTCCTTTTATAGTTTACAATTTCAATACGTAATTCTTTTCTTTTTTTTTCATTTATGTATCAGATTTTAGTGAAATTTCTTTTTTCAGTAAACAATTATAACAAATTTAATTAACAATCACTTCTTTTCTTTTCTTTTTTGGCTCTATGTTTCACAATTTTAACAAAATATTTTATAAGTAATTTTATTTCATAAATTTTATACATTAATTCTTAAGTTTTAGTTGCCAAATTTGCATCTTATCCTTTGAATTTTAATTTAATTCCGATTAGGTGTTAAAATATGCTCCAGGTTTGTTAATCTTTTTAAAAAAAAAAAAACAGATTTGTTTACAAATATCATAAAAAAAAATGGTAAAATAACGAACTAAAATTAATTATTTATATCATTAAAAAAAAAAAGTCAACTCTTTTGCATAGAATTTAATTTCATTTCAATGCCGTTTAATTTTTTTATTTTTTTTTTTTAGAACCAAAAATACGTCAAATTGAAGCATGGCAGAATGAGCTACTATCAAATATTTGTGGCAAAATATGTCTTTCATTCAAATTTTTTTATTTTTTAAAATTTTTTATTTTGCAAAATCTATTTCTGCTAAGCTTATTTTAAAATGATAAATTCATTTTATTGATTATATGCAATAAATTACTGATTAAATCTGTTCATTTTATCATAAATAATTATATTAATTAACTAAATCAATTAATCTTAAATATATTGCTAATGAATAATTTTTTGTAATTATTATTTTTATTTTTTTAAATTTCCAACACAAATGTAACTAATAAAATAATACTAATATAACAAATTTAATACTAATAAAATAATCTAAAATTTTTTTTCTAAAATTTTTTTATTGTAAATTTTTATTGTAATAAAGTTTATTGTAATAATAAATAAATAATCTTTTGGCAATTTTCAATTAGTAATCGTTATTTTGACCATTTATTTTAGGTTTCATCAAATGGTTCACTTAGCTATCCATGGGCTATTTCTGTAGCATTAAATGTAAGAATTTCAAATGTCATAGATAAACATTTAATTATTAAAATAATTAATTTACATCAAAATTATTATACAGAAAATGTAAGTGAATAATTTGTTTAATTCTTTTTTTTTTTAAAAAAAAAAAAAAATTGCACTGTTTATATTTTATATTAAGGTAAAGAACCAGTTTGAAATTTCAAACATACTTCACTTTCTTTCATTGTTTCTTCTTCATCATTTCATTTTATGTCGTTTCAAATTTATGGTACAAAATTTTATTTCCATTGATCAATAAATAATGTAACAAAGAAATAAATCAATTTGAAAAAAAAAAAAAGACGGAAAACAAGAGATTAAGCAAAGATCATAAATTGCTAATTGGAATTTTACATAAAATCGAAATATTTTATATAGAGAAAAAAACGAGAAAAGTAGAAATTACGTAAATAATTTTTTTGTGTGATTTCAAAATCTCAAAATGTCTTAGAAAATATGTAAATTTTTAGTAAACAGTCAAGTTTTTAAGCGTTTATTTGAAAATTTCAAAAGTTCAATTTTAATAATTTTCTGTCTTCTTTTTCAAAAAAAGAAAATTTTTAGGGTACAAATAAACTTGGTGGTGTAATCATATCACCTTATCATATTCTTACTGCAGCACATCCATTTGTTAAATTCAACGGATATAGTATTATACCATGCAAGTAAGTAATAATATTCACCTTTGTCACCAAAATTTTTATGATTAATTATTCAAACAAAATTATTTTTATTAAAATTTTTGTGATTAATTATTAAATTAAAATTATTTTTAAAAAATTATTTTAAGTGCTAAATTAATATTACTTGGACTGACAAATGGAAATAAAACAAAAAGACGAAAGTGAAAAGTGTGAGGGAAAGAGAAAGAAAATAAAGATTAAATTTCAATTACAATAATTTTTAAACTTTAATTACGCATGATATTCTATCATTTAATCAATCAAAATGATTTTTTATTTTTTTTTTTTCATTTTTTTTTTTAATTAAATTATTTAATTTTTTACTTGAAATATAATCACTCTTCATTATCAATAATTTTACTGTGGTATATCATTTTCACATTTTTGTTTCATTTTTTTTTATAATAATTTCAATTCATCAATGAAAATTTCTAAAATTTTAATTTTAAATTATAAAACTATTTAAGATAACCAATTTTTCAACTCTTAAATTGTATGCATTATTATTTAATCTTTGTCAATGCCTTCAACTAATTTTTTCCTTAATTATTAATTAAAAAATTCATAATTGATTAGTCATTTGAATAAATAAAATTTAAGGACTGATACCTATCGTAGTATTACCGAATTATTAAATCGTAAAATTTTATTTGGTGGCAAATGCATCCGCGGTTTCACAGCTAATAGAACAAATCATCCAACATGTGAAGAAGCCGATGTATTCAATAATACGGTATAAAATCTCTTCATGAATAATAATTTTTTCTTTTTTTTTTTTTGAATAATTTCAAAAAGGAGAAAATGTTTGAATTTTAATGCTTAATTAATTAATTAATTAATTAAGTTATATGATTGTTTAATTTCCTATTTCCAATAATTTTTTATACATAAAAAAAGATAACATAAATCGAACAAAAACTTTTTTCTTCCTAATTTATTAATGAATTGATTAATTATTCTTAATCAAACTTCAAATATTCAAATATATATTATTTTTTTTTCGTTTTTTGCTATCAAAATATATAATTCGATTATCAAATTATCATTCAAAATTGAAATATTTGACATTTAATCGTAAGATTTTATTTTATCATCGATTTATATATAAATGTATTATTTGCTACTTTTTTTTTAATCGCACAGATTTGCAAGATAATTGTTGATAATGATTTTAGATTTCCAAAACAATTATTGATGATTCAAAATTTGGATTTAAATATAAATTTTGATAACATTTTAAATTAACACATAATTTGTTGATTGACAATGATTTCCATTCATAGTATATAATTATTGATAGCGATTTAGATTCGCACAATAATTGTTGACAATGATTTTATAAGTGAAAATTGTACAAATGGTCATGATTGGGCAATTATTGAAGTTGAACAACCATTTATATTTACGGATAAAGTGCAACCAATATGTTTACCATTGAAAAATGAAAAGTTGCAAAATATTTTAATGATCTTTGGATGGGGACGAAAAAATTGTAAGTATTACTAGAGATCATAGTAGTTGGATAATTATTGATAGCTTATAAATAGTTTAATATTTAATTCTTTCAATATAACCTATACAAAAAGATTTTTTTCTTATTTTGTGATGAATTAATTTGATAATACAATAAAATATATATCAACTTTTATTATACAGTAATAATTTTTTTTTAGATATTTTAATGGAAGTACATATTGAATCCAAAAAAAAAATTGCAATGTTTTAAAAAGTAAATGTTAAGAAAATAGCTTAAATTAGCATAATTATTGGGAATTTTATTAGAATTTATAATAAAATGTAACAAAATAATTTGTCACTTAAAGCATTCTCTGATGGCAGTCCATTAATTCATGAAATTCCAATGCAACTTGACATGAATTGTAAAGCATCATGGAGTGATATGATGCCAACAAAAGTTCATGATTATATATGCATGAAATCATTAAATCCAAAATATGTCAACACACCACGTATTTGTTATGTATGTATTATCTTTCATATTTTAATTATATAAATTTGAAATTTATTCAATCATTTTATATCTTAATATTTCTCTCATAAAAAAAAAAAAAAAAAAAACGTAATTCCTTTTTTTTAAAAAAATACTTTTTTCATTTCTTTTTTTTTCGTAATTCAGTTCAATACAATTTAAACTTAGTATTTTACTAGAAACTTAATTATCAATTCTTTTCAAAAAAAAATTAAAACAATTTTATAGGGTGATAGTGGCAGTGGCATGCAACAATTTAATGCTAATGGAAAAGCGACAGTTGTTGGTATTACATCGTATGGCTTAAAAGGATGTCCACCAAATGAACTTGCTCGATTTACACGAGTTGACTGCTACCTGAATGAAATATGTCAAATAACTGGTGTTTGTTATACAGTCAAAAATTTAATTATTTAAATGACAAAAAATGGAAGAGTGGTTTTAATTTTAATTGTAATAATCATGTTTATTTATTTTCTTTTTCTCATGAGACAGTAATTTTTCATTTCTTTATGTAAATCTAAAATTTGAGATTGCTTTTTCTACCTGAGATGTTTTGACATATCATTTCTTGCATAAATCCATAAAATTTAGATTTGTTTTTTACATTTTTTGTAAAATTGTAATTTATTATTTCTTGCAGTTCACTTTTTGAAATAATTCAAAGGTAAGAAAATAATGCACAATGTTTGATAAAAGATAAAATTTGCAAAAAGAACTAAAATAAATAAATTTATGATGAGCTTTAACATTTTCATATTTTTACAGCAAAATTTATAATTGTATTTATATGTAATATTTGTATATAGTATTTATCCATTTGATAATATTGCAAGCTAATAATGAATTATTCTAAAATTTATATTGTTTTTAAGCTAACACTGTTACAAGCTTTATATGAAATGCTTAATTAAATAAAGCGAATAAACAAATAATTGGTAGGTAATTAAGCTTATCAGCGTAATTCATAATTTAGTGATAATATGACACATTCTATTACTTTATTATCTATAATACTTAACAGTTTATTTACTAATAAAGTCAGACTAAATCTTCAAATTGAAATCCACCAGAAATCCCCAAAGGTCACAGAAAGACAACTCAGAAAGACTAATCGAATAGCTGCACCAAATGCTCCAAGGAACATTTCTTAGCTAACAAGTAGTTTCCACATCAATGTTGTCAGCTGATGACGGGGTGAGGAGTTGAACCTACCCACCATATGTTCACGAGTGCGTAGACCACTATACCAACAGTTCCACCAACTAACTCTTCACTAGACATAGATAAAGTAAAAATAATTGTAGTAGTTGGTAATAAGTAGTAAGTCAACAATTTAACACTGTAAGCTAATACTCGAACATCACTATAACACAATGAACATCATTACAGTATCACTATAACACAATGAACATCATTACAGTATCACTATAACGCAATGAACATCATTACAGTATCACTATAACACAATGAACATCATTACAGTATCACTATAACACAATGAACATCATTACAGTATCACTATAACACAATGAACATCATTACAGTATCACTATAACATCATTGTAACATTGCTGAAAAATACCTAAATAATGATTATTGATAAGTTATGTTTTAATCGCTGCTAATCAACAGTAACTACAAACAGCTATCACTAATGATAACTTTATAAAGCAGGATTATCAACTGCAATAATGGAAAAACTAAAAGGAAGCATTAATTAATTTGGATAAATTGAAATAGCAATTTGCAACTTCCGTGATGAGTTATTTTTAATTTCGATTTTAAAAAACATATTATTAATAACTACTTCAAGAAAAAATTAAGAAAAGTAAAAAACACTTTGCAGTTTTAAATTATGACAAATAAATACTTTTCCAGATGAATGCTAACAAGTTTCTGGAATAATATCGAACTAAACAGAACTTTTTCTTTTATGTCAGTTAATTATTACAGCTTAATGAGTAGCTAAAGTATCAAGTTCAATTGAAAAAATTTGAACAATGAACACTATATTCAATTTCTTGCATTAATTTTTGAAGGAGAACTTAATTCAATGTACTAAATAATTAATAAACGATAAAAATGCATTATTATCTAAATTTTACATTTAAATGTAAAAATCAATACTTGCATAACATTGAACAAATTGTTAGTTTAATCAAAATTTCAACCTTTAAATCTTAAACAGATTTATCGATGCAACCTTTTAGATAAGTTTTAAACAAGTTTTAGATAGATAACTTTTAAGATGATCGTAATCTCTCCCATAGATACTGTTGAATCACTTAGGATACTGTAAGCGTGAATCATTCTGGGTACTGTACGTGACAAAGTATTGATGGTTACTGTATATAGTTTACGTAGAGTAATATACTAAGAGAATAAATCAAAGTAAGATAAACTAGTGTAAATTTTAATAATTGATTAATAAATTTAGTAAATTTATAAGAATTGGCAAAAAATATTCTTCATAAGTGTAATATCACAATTTACTGCTTTATTTGTTCTATCGATGGTATATTTGTGAGCTATTAGCTTAGCGCAGTTGTCATTTGTCGTATGATTAGCTTACTGTTAGCTTATTTGTCATAGTGTTAAAATATTTGTTCGATTGTTTACAAATTTGATTGCCTTATTGACCTATTTGTCATATAGTTAACTTAGTTTTTAGGTGCTAATTTATTTATCATATTGTAGGCGCACTTATCATATTGTTAGTCATTTGTTTTATGAATTTTTTTTTTTTTTGTAAATTATCTTATTTATGACAAAATGGATGAATAAAATGTAATTGCTCAAAAATTTTATGTTAAATTAGATGCATAATTTCATAACACTGTGTAAGTAGTTATTTCTTATATTTAGCAAATTAAGTTTACGTATGTACGTGATTATAAATATTCTCAATTGTTATGATTATTCATCCATGAATAAGGATTTCGTAAAATTATTTGGTTCTTTTTTTTCATCATATATTGCCAGGAATATGGATTTAATGGTGCTGGCTTCTCTAAAACGATCAGCATATTACGTGGTTGTGATTTGATGGCCTGAAAAACGACAGTTGACAGCCAATTATAAGGTTAATTAATTAAATTATAAACGAAAAGAATTATGAAATTAAAAAAAAAAAAACTGGTGTAAATTGTTATTACAGTTTTCATTTACAAGTCATTTTTGACAATTAATCGAAATTTTATCTACTAAATAATGTAATTTATATTTAAAACCACTTTTCAAATAGGAAAGTTTTGTTTTGAAATTTCGTTTTATAAAAATTCTACCCAAAATTTAACCTTTTTTCTATTTTTAAGCTACAATTTAAAAGTTTTCCAAAAGCTAAAATATAGTTTTTATTTAGAATTAAATAGCTAGCATAAAGTTTTTTATGCAATATTTAAAAAAAAAAATATTTATTGAAAATATCCTGACACTTTTTCCTTCCTTTTTTCATTTAAAATGAAAAATGTTCCACAAAATTTTGTAACATTTGCAATTTTAACAATCCTTATTTTCTAATTCTAATTTCTTATTTGTTCAGAATTATTCAATAATAAATGATTATATCCATTAGACACAAAAAATTGAGAAAGAAAAAGTGCGAAAGAAAAAATTAATTTAATTTGACGTCATATGGAAAAGCTAAAGCTTTGATTAATTTCTTTGCTTTTGCTTTTTAATTTTAAACTGAATTAAATTTTATGAAGGAGTATGTTAATTTCATATTTATTTTATAATATGCAATAACTAACTGAATTACTCATCCATGAATAGGAATTCCTGGAACGTTTGGCCGTATTGAAATATTCTTCCGGCATAAAACCATAATTATCCGGTTCATTTTTATATGTGAAGTATTTGCTTGGTTTTTCTGAAAAGTTAATCAATAATCGGAGGAAATTTATAATTTCAATATCTAAAAATTTTATCTATGAGATTTAGTTAAGGACTTTTTTACAATCTTATATTATTTGATAAATAAAAATGTGCATTGTCAAAGTTTTATTATTAACAACTTATTTTGATAGGAAAATATTCATACATCGAACTAAACAGTATGTTTGTAGTGTCATCACATTTTAGAGTTAATAGATAAAATTATGGATTACACTCTTAAAATCGTTTAAAATCTTTGAACTTTGAAAATATTTGTTAATATGCACAAAAACTTTCGTTACTAACAATTTTAGCGTTTTTTTTTTTGTGTGTGTGTTCTAATAAATTAAATAAAACTTTGGATTTTTCTAAAAAAAAAGAAAACTATAAAAAATTTTTTTTTGTCCAAAAAAGCTGAAATGTGAATTAATGATTAATGAATTATAAAAAAAATGCAGAAATAATATGATAATGGTGCGATGAAGTTTGAAAGAATTTTAATAAAAAATACCATAAATATTGCCAATTGCTGGATTAGCTATAGTAGGAATAATAATTATAGAAATGATAATGAAATGATAGGATATAATGTGATAATGACACATTGCAGCAGCGTTATTGACAGTATTATTGGATTTCATTGAATAAACAATTTGATGATTGAAAAAAAAAAGAGAAATGAAATAAATTGTCGTTTGATTGCTTTGTTTTGTTTTTCTCAAATAATTTTTTTTGCAATTTCTTTTCGTCTTTATTTTACATCTTTTCTCGTTCTTAATTAAACTTTTATTTTTTTGCAAAACAAAAAACGAAGACAAAAAAAAAAAAAAAACAGAAAAAAAAGGATAGTGAAGAAAATGAATTGCTTATTTTATGGATGCTAAAGAATGTTTACATTTTTTTCTGAAGAGTTACTTGAAAAGCTAAAGGCTTAAAATTTGCTTAAAAAGCTTAAGGCTAATTTTTTTTTTTTTTTTTTTTTTAAACACATATATTTCTATGTGTGAGAAAAAGAAAACTTTGTTAAAAGTATTAGATTTATTGAAAAAGAAGCTCTAATTCCTCTCTTTTCCGCGTCCAATTTCTGTTCTCAGTTTCTGTTTTTAAAAATTGTAAATTTCACAAATTAGTAATTCAATATTCTTCTCATTGTCACTAATAAAAGTAGTACATTCGCTAAATCTATTTGGAGTAAAATAAATTTATTAAAAATTAAAATTTTTGAAAATTAGTGCAACATATTATTGCATGTTTGAAATTCATCCCATTTCTGTAATCAAAATAAAAAAAAATTATCTACTTTCTTGTTTGTATTTAAAAAAAAAATCCAAGAATTATGCTGTGATTACATAATTTGCAAATACTAAACAGAAAAAAATAATTTTATTCTTGCAAAATATTAATTGCGCGATAGCTTTGTCTGCCAATTTTATAAGTATGAAATTATGTAATTGGAATAATAATAAAATTAATAATAATAGTAGTAATAATAATAATAATAATGATAATGGAAAACGATAAAAATAATGATATTATTTTATCTACATCAAATGACAAGAATGATAATCGCCGTGATTTATGCTTGGAACTGGAATTTCTCAACACATAGTTATAATTTGTTAATTAAAAAAACTTTAATAATCAATTTGCTAATCTCCAAATGAATGGATTGTAATTTATGATATGAAATTAAATAACTTTAATAGTAATTAATAATTAACCACCATACTTTTATCATTTATATTTATTTAATATTGCCTAAATTATAATTTAACAGTATGTCAAAATAATCAATTATCTCAGTTTTTTTTTTTTTTTTTTTTTTGCTCATTAGTTATCAGAATTACCTATTATCCCTACAATATTCAATATCTGATAGAGATGATAATTCTATGAATGATTGAAATAATAGAAACATACTTTGCTAATCAAAAAAAAAAGAAAATGAATCCATGTGCTTTAAATTTAATTGTTTTTCATTTTTAGTTATCATTGATTAAAATGCTATATTTTGATGAAAGGCGGTAATTCTTTTTTGTCATTCAATTAACGAAGCTTATTTAATTGAACCATTCAAATAATTATTCTTTTTTTACCTCTATTTCACGTTATAATAAATGTTGATTATAAATCAGTAATTAATTTGAAATGAATAAATTGTAAAATCTGAAATGATTAAACTGCTGTCGATGCATCACTGAACTGATCAAGTACTAATTTTGGATGCTCAAATTATAATTTGAAGCTGAACAAAGTAATAGTTCAAAATGATCAAACTAGAAATTGAAAACTACCAAATTTAAAACCAACCAAATTACAAGCTTAGAATGATTAATTGTGAGTTTGAAATAAACAAATTATGATAATTGATAAATCTTTTTTTATCATTTATCATTGCTCAGTTGTTATTTGAATAAAACAAAATTTACTGATTAAAAAAAGCAAACAATAAATCTCACTTTTTGGCTTTTAGTTTTTCTTTTCCCTTTTTTTTTTTTGCTGAACAAAATATAATAAAGTGGATATATTTATAAAATGCGAAAAAAAACGATAGCGAAATTTTACTTTTTCTTCCTTTCTTACCAATGAAAGATTAATTGTTTAAAAAAGAAAAAAAAAAATTGTGAATTAATATGAGACAATCAATTCGAACCATATTATCATTCTCTTTGATTAATTCATTAATTATCACTTGTTAATCAAACATTCTATTATATTGCGTACGATAATGCAAAAATTATTGCTTCAAAAAAAAAAAAAAAAAAAGAGGAAAGAAATAAATAATTTGCTTAAATAAAAATGCGTACATATGCAATTATCTCTTTTCAAATTTATTCAAGAACAAAAATAATTTAATTGGAAAACATTTGTTGTTGTGCAAAATCTATCGGATGAATCATTTTTCCATCATTTTTCTCAACATATTTCACATTATGATTGTTATTGTTATTATTATTAGCCGGAATTGCACCACCGGAAATCTTTGTCATTCCACGTCCGTTTCCTTCTTCTGATAAATAATCCATCATCATACTAAAACCATATTAATATTGCTTAGAACAAAAATTTATTTTAAAATCAAATTTACATTTTTTTTTTTAAAATTGCAATATATATTTAAATAATAGCAATAAGATCCTTTCATATATATATATATATATTTTTTCGATAGGGAAAAAACACTTTAATTAACATTTGATGCAATCTTTTTTTTTTTTTTTTTTTTTTTGAAATAAAAATTTTTTAATTTAAAGTAATACTAATTATAGTAATGAAAGACATACGGTGACATAGGAGCAAGTATGTAATCTTGATTGTATAAATTTTCATGATATAATGGATCATTTGGGAAAAGTGCTTTCTTATTTCGATCCGAATAATGGCGTAAACCGGAATTCTAAAATTAAAATAAATTGGCAAACAAAAATAAAACAAGGAAAAGACTAATGCATCAGTTAATGCAAAATTGTTATTTTTTTTATTTTTGTAGTAAATAAAAGTTATTTACAAAAATTAATCAATAATGATTAATTAATAATGTTTACAAATTGATATTATTGAATGATAGAACAGCAAGGCGTGAAGATGTTGCCAATTAATTTTTATTCAGACAAATTTATTGTTTACAAATTATGCCAATAAAGTTAAATTACATTTATACTTCATTATTTACTATATTAGCTTTTTCTATTTGCTGTTTACGAATTTGCTTAGTTTTTTTTTTTTTTTTATTATATTATTTGCTCGAAAAGAAATCAATAAAGTGAGTAACTATGTAATTACTGCAATAGAATCAATCAATTCATTAATTCATTATCAGTTAAAAGTAGATAAACGTGCCATTTTAAGTAATCAAGTAATGATTTTGGGGTTATTATTTAAATAATTCAAGTAATATTCTTGCAAAATTAATGAAATATAGTGAAATCATAAAATATTAAATAAAATACTGAGGATTAAGCTTATCCAGCATTTCCAGTGTTAAAAAGGTACTAAATAGTTAATTATCATTAATTACCTCTAGTAATTAGCAAATTGCATGCTTTCCAAATTATCACCATGATGCTTAATTTGCTTAATTTCGGTAATTCATTAATTATGTGACTAATTATGAACATCATTCAACTAATTGTATTAAATAATTGTTTAATGAGAAATGATACTCAAAGACTTAAATTTTAAAATCATTTAAACAAACCATATCATTTCGAAGTTTGAATATTCCGCCAGGTCTTGCAATCATATAAAATGGAGAGCAAACATCAATTATTATTAATGCAACAAGAAGAGTAATTGCATTCATTGTTATTTCTATCTGAAATAAATTAACTGATAACCAATTTCAGGGCGCATAAACTTATATTAGGTCGCAAAATGATAAACGTATGATTTATTTATCATAGACTGATAAGCATGCAATTTGTCCATCATTACAAAGTGATAAGTGTATAATTTATTTATCAGTACAAAATAGTACTAATTTACTATTAAACATTTTATTCGAAATATATCAAAATGTATATAAAAGGACTGAAAATGGTTCTTTTTAATAACAGAACATTAACTTATAATAATACAAAATAAAAAAAAAACCTTTGGATAATTTTAAAAAAAAAAAATTTAATTCAAGTTTTACCACATAAATAAACTATGATCAAATGGAAAAAAATGAGAATTACTTATTTTCACAATTTCATATATTAAACAGTATTTTAATAAAATGTAAAAATACGACCAAAAAAAAAAAAATCAAAAAATGTTATTCAAAGGAAATTTGAAAAAATTTCAAATAATTTTCGAATTTGCTAATTTATTTTTTGAATTCTCCTTGGTCCTAATTTCAAATTTTCCAATTTATTTAAGTTTCAACACATAAAACAATGACAGTAATAAAAAAATTTTTGAAAAGTACATTTACATTTGGAGATTAAATTTCTTTTCTGATTTTTCATTTTATAATTTAAAAAGAACTTAAAAAATTTTTCTCATTTTTTCAATCTGATTAATTTTAAAAGAACTTCAAAAAAATAAAATTTCATTTTTTCAAATCTATATTTTGTTCCAATTTTTTATTTCAATAAATTCTGATAAATCTTTCTGAATAGGCTGATATAATTATAAGCTTCGACATATCTTTCATATGAGCAATTACTTTAGAAAAATATTCTCTTATTTTACAATTAAAAAAAATCAAATATTAAAATTGGAAATTTGATAAATAAAGTTTCTTGAAATATAGAATTGAAAATTCTAAAAAAAAAATCCATGAATATAAGACAAAGTGTTTTCTTGTAAAGCGAAATGTTTTTTAATTATTGATTTTGCATTCTATCATTATTTCGTTTTTTGTTTTAATTTTTTAAAATGAATTTTTCGAAAAAAAGAAAAAAATGCTAAAAAGAAACTTAAAATAAAGAAGAACATATAATTGAACTTATACTTTAACAAATCTTTATAAATATTTCTTCCACATTTTTTAGCAAATTCTTTTCTGAATTCATTTCATAGTTCAAATATTTTTTAATATTTTCATTTCAATTTCCAATTTTATTATCTTAAATAAATTATTTCATTTTTTTAATTATGTTCCATCAAATCCTTTGAAATTTTTCTTTACATATCAAATGAAAAAAAAAAAAAAGAAACGGTATTAATTAAAAGATCCATTGCACTAATAAATATTGATAATATATAATCGAATATTAGTGATAAAGAAATTTTGGAAATAAATAAATTAAATAAGAAAATATTGCAATTAAATGAGCAATTATTTAAATTTAAATGATGAAATTAACGAAATATTTTTTTGCTTTTAATAATTACCAAAATTTTTATTGCACTGCCAAATATTAGTAATATACAAATAATATTATAATCGATTACTCGAAAAAGTAACTACTTTACCTCGCAATTATCAAATTTTAATTTTGTTTTATTATTAATGCAATTAATTTTATCCATTTTAATGAGTAATACTAAAGGATTATTTAAAGGAATTGATTTAATTATGATTTGAGCAATTTTTAATAATTATTTAAAATGAAATTTTATTTTGGGAAAATTATTGTATATACATGAACCAACGTAAACAAAAATAATTTTTCATACAAAGAATACATTAAATTTTGTGTGTTACCTAAAATGATCTAAAAATTGCGATACTGATTATTGATTATTGATTATCGATTATTGATTACTGATTAATTTTCTCAAATAAAAATATTGCCAACAACTTAAAAATTAAACAGTGTGGTTTTATAATTACTTGTATTAGAAAAGACAAATCAAAATTTTTTTAAAAAAAAAAAAGAAGTTTCGGGAATAAACGAAATAAAAAATTTTTTCGAAAAAATAATTTAATTTTATTACTTTTTGTTTTTCTCTCTATCTTCTTTTTTTCAATCATATTTTTTGATAAACTTTTTGACAAAAAAAAAAACAGCTCATTAGCAAAAATATATAAGTGCTGAAAACATTACACATAGAAAATTGATTAATTAAAAAATTATATTAACAAAGTTTTCAACTAGTAAACGTATCAAATAATTATTAATTAGTAAAAAAGTACGCAAATTCTCTTTATGAAATTTTCTACAAAATTTTTGAAACGAAATAACAACTAAAATTATTTTTTTAAATCTTCATCCGCTTTGTACTAAAAGTTTGCTTGAAATTTCATAACATAATACTATCAATTCAAAATTAAAAATAATTTTTGACCGAAAATGTCGGAAATATGAAATTATTCAGTTTGCTCACTTATTTTCTTTCTTTTCCTTTCTTTTTTGTAAACTTTCAAAACACTTTTCAATTGAGATAATTTTATAATAATACAAAAAGATAAAAGTGAAAAACTCGTTCCTTCCAAAGACTCAAAAACTTCAAATGATTGATTCATACGTGAAAAAAACACGTGAAAAAACCCGAAAATGTCGAAAATATAAAATTATTCAGTTTGTTCACTGTCATAAATTTTCGCCGTTTTTTTGTGGGCAAATGAAAAATAAAATGAAAAAAAAAATAGAATTTGGAAACTGTACGGATTTTTCATCTAAACATTAAGCATCACTTAATGATTATAAATTTTTCTTCCGTTTTTTGAGTTTTATTATCTCTAATGCATTTAATACATTCGTTAGAACATTCTTTAATTAATTGCAGGTGTGTTAATTAAACAAATTACTGTGACAATGTCAAAATAAATATAAAATTGTTATTTTCAGTTAAGGTTATACAAATAAATTGTGAGTGGAAAAAATCGCCAGTTTTCATTTAATAATTTAATTAATATGTGGCTATCATTTAATTTAACTAATAATATTTAATTAACATTTATTAATTTAATTAATAAATTTAATTAATTATGTATACATGAAGATTGCTGTATATATTATTTATTTTATTTAAATTTTGTTTTATAATAACAAATATACTATTTTGAAAAAAAATGAAAAAAGAAATTGAAAAAAAAAAAGAATTACATATCAATTTCACGTCTGGTAATTACGTATAGAATATCACGCAATTATTAAACGTAAGTGTAAACAATAACTGTGAAATTGGAAAGAAACAAAATTTTTTTTTCTTTTCTTTGCAACAAATAATATTATAAATTATTCACTTATGTCATATGTCACCCAACAAAAAAAAAAAAAAAAAAAGAGGAAAAGCTTTTCGCATTTGTCAAAATGTTTAGCTTTAAATAGACTTAAATTTACATTTATGATAAATAGAATTTTTTATTGCTGAGAAATTCATACAACTATCTCAACTAGAAGAAATATTTTCTTTGTGACAACTAAAATGCAACACAAAAAATAGACTTAACTTTTCATTTACAAAATATAATTTTTCTTTTACGTCATTTTTTCAAAGCAAACATAATCAGAAATTTATAAACTTTGAAATTGGATTAGTCAAGAAGAAAAATCTTTTTTTTTTTTTATTAGTTAAAGTTAATTTATTGTGAAACAAAAGAGGAAACTGATTTAATTTATAAGTTGAGCTGTGATAAATTAAAAAAAAGAAACGAGAAACATTTCCAATGATCTATTCTAGTCTAAAAATTTTAAATCTAAGAAAGTTTGAATGAAAATCAACAGAAATAGCAGGAAATTACATTGGATTGGTTATCTGTAAAATTAAAATAAAATTTTCACTGCTAAAGTTTCTTTTTTTAAACACAATACTTTATCGAAGTGAAATGTAAAGGCTTACTTTATTGTTTATTAAATATTAAAAAATGATAAACACTTTTTTTTTAATATATAGTAAGAGGTTAATGTTAAATGGAAAAAGTAAGTGATATATTGGGAGATATTATTGATTTAATCTTCTTTATATCCTTAACAGTACTTATTAAAAGAAATAAATTATTAAATTAAATGTTTTAAATTCAATTTAAATATTTTGCATCATGAAAAGAACAAAAAAAAAAAACATAAAGATGAATAAATTTTGTGAGGTAAACAATGTTTTTTTTTTTTTTTTCAGACAATAAATCTTACAAATGATGAAATATGATATTTATAAATAATTAAAAAGGAAAAAAATGAACTGAAATATTTCTAATCCATATTTTTCCCATTCATTCTTTTCGTTTAATTAAAATTTTAGAATTAATTAATTGCTAACACTGCGTTCTTTATGAAAATATGCTTATTTATTGGCAAAAAATCAGAAATCCTTTCGATATCATTTTACTTATATTTTAATAATATGTGATATTTATCACTAATTTCTAATTTATTTATACGACAAAAGTATTTATAGAAAAGAAAACAAATTATTTTAACTAAACTTACAGATAAAAAGCATTGCTAATTATCACATACGTAAAAACATAATGACGTACGTGTACAATCATATACATTTCTGAGAATTACTTTTATTTAGGCAAATTGTTACGCTAAGAAAAAAAAAAGAAGCCAACAAAAGCATAAACATATTTCTTTAATTATAATTAAAGCATAGACAAAAGTAAAATTAGTATTTACGTTATTATCGTTAGAAGCAATAATACGCAAAATCATTAATTAACAAAAAATTTAGCTTCTTTAATTGCAGTTGCAAAGTGAGATTTAGCACCAAATATGCGTTTTAGGTAAAATAACTTTTTAAAAAGTTTATTTAAGCATTTCATTCTTTCTACCTTTCTCTTTCCTCTCATTTTGATGTGCCCTAAATTTTTATAATTTAAAATTTGTCAAGAAGTTTTTAAAATTAAAGAGAAATCCAACTGCAATGATAATAACAGCCTTAACGATAATAATAATAGTAATAACTAATAAAAATTGTGCACTT